TAGATAGATAGATAGATAGATAGATAGATAGATAGATAGATAGATAGATAGATAGACAGACAGACAGATGAGGTAGATAGATAGATAGATAGACAGACAGACAGACAGATAGATAGATAGACAGACTGTATATATACATCATCATCACCCCCAGAATGCAGAATGTCAGGAACACAATGACGATGTGCTTAAGTGAAAAATGTAATAAACATATATAAATATTTACAGTGGTGGGCACAGTTCCCCTAAAGCACTAACAGGGGAGCTAATTTCCTGATTAGTGCTTTAGGGCTTTAGAATTAGGGGACCTAAATATTTGAGTTAGTGCTTTAGGGTTAGTGCAACTAATATTTAGATTAGTGCTGCCCACCACTGAATATTTAAGTAATTAGGKTATTAAAGCCAATATGTGACAGACTATGATCACTTTAAAAAAGGTAACAAATAAGGTAAAAACTAAATAAATTGCCACTGACTATCAGCTTATGATTGACAGGTAAGTGAGTCATCACCTGTCCCAGAGATGACCCCGAACACATCTTTGTGGAGAGCGTTTTCTATGCAGCTCCCAGGTTTCTGAGGAGTCAGCAYGGAGTTTGGTACCAGAGAGTCCTCCCTTGGGTTCTGGGACAGAAACCATCATGCAGTGAAGACAGTGACATGCTGAGCTGACTGAGCCTAATGTTTACAGGTTTAGGCAGGTACTGACTCTGCTGTGGACATGAGAGGGACCTTTTCTTTTGCCACCAGCAGGTGTCAGACTTACATTGTTGTTGCTGAGAGGAGCTGAGTCTTTGATGTCCAGTCTGTAAACATTCTCCTGAAGGAGGCCGAACAGAGGCAGGTACAGAGTGGCCAGTCTGGCTTGGTGGCTCTGAGGAGACACAGCAGACGTTCAGGGGAAATTAAAGCTGGATACAAAGTTCACACATTATTCAAACCTAAATTCACTAAAATCTTGAACGAACAAAAAGCAAAGCTCGACGTCAGAGTTCCTGAACTTACTTTGGCAGCGTAGCGGTCGTCAAACGTGTGTTTAATCTGTAGCCCCTTCAGCACCTGGACAGAGATCTGACGGATCTCTCTGTGCTCCTGAAGCGCCGCACCCACCTCCCGCAGCAGCAAGCCCACCAGGAAGTGGTTCTGACAGAAGTCGTCAGTCAGGGAATAGTCCAGCTGGAGATCTGAAGAAAGAACGAATCAACAAAAACARCTAAAGAGACCGTATTTGTTTGAAAGTTGAACAACTGATGACATTTGTTATAGAAGCTAAAACTGGGTGGCTAAAGTTAAAATAATCAGAACAAAGGCTAAAGAAAGAAAACCACAAGCTACAAACTAAAAGCAGCTAAAAGCAGTGAAACAGTATCTAAAAAGCAGAAAACTGTAGCAGAATTTAGCTAAAAATCTCAAGATAACAAAATTATAGCTAAAATAAGTAAATCTAATGTAAAATTAACTATATGTAGCCAGAATTAGCTAAACAAATGCTAAAATTTGTACAACTGCTAATATTAGGTAAACATATCCTAAAGATAACAAAACTTGGCTTAAATTAGCAACTCTACAGCTAAAATTATTATTATTATTATTAAGTTTATTTGACAGGGACAGACACACAACATAGAC